CAATCGCCCCCTTTATAACTTCTCCCGTCTGTCTGCAGCCACAACTCGGAGAAGCGGCACACAAAGGCCACAGGCGGCTCCAGGAAGAGAAAGGCAGATGTGCTCATTGTGAGTCCAACAAAGAGCTGTGTGTGTGTGCGCGGGGGTGACCGGTGCCCCTAACTCGTCATCACCGTCCTCTGTCTTCTTCTCCTACAGATTCTGCAGGACCCCGACCAGGAGCTGGAGCCCCAGATGGCGCAGAGGACCAAAGAATAGAAAATAGAAACCAAATATTTGTTGATCTTCAGAATAATATAATATACTCTGTATACTGAGAACTAATTATGGTAAATTAAAAAACGTTCAGGCTTGCCGCATTTATATGCGAGCTTCAGAAACACGGATCCAGGAATGGGTACAGGGCATCTAAAACGCGTCAGCCATGCTTGCCGGGAAACGCAGATGTGCGGACGCAGCCACCCGCGTGCGATACGCAGCTCCCTGACCCCTCGAAAGCTGATTTTGTGTACCATCCTCTGTAATTTGTTCTATATTTTATTTTTTTTTAGTGTTTTTGATACAAAACGTTAAGTTACAGCTTTGCGCTGCAAACGGCGACTTCTTTTTAAGCTCATGCAAACGGACACCAACAGCTGTACAGTTGCACCCACCATAGACCTGCTGAGACTTGTAGTCCCTCCGCTCTCACTCGGGGAGGTGGGATTTGGTTTATAGAGGTCACACGTAAACACGGCGGGTCTGATAACGGCAGATTGTGTGGCTCCGTCATGCTGCTGCTCTGTGTAGGCCCAAAAGAGCTCGGAGGATTATGTAATGTGTGTGTGTTAGCTGGTCTGAGTCACTGCTGAGCTGAGCCGGGGGTGGGGGAGGAAGGCCCGGGCCTCCCTTCTATATTTCATCCATGGAGAGCAGAATCTGCAACTTGTACAACTTGTGTGTTTTAGTTCCTCTGCACAAAGTCCTCGCTCTATAATTTGGCCTGCCCTGGGTTGTGCCCTCTTATCGCTAGGTGTGTGTTGTGTTGGTTTTCTCTGTGTGTATGTGTGTGTGTGGGTTGTATTGGGTTATATTGATTTTCTCTAGGTGTGTGTGGGTTGTATTGGTTTTCTCTAGGTGTGTGTGTGTGGGTTGTATTGGTTTTCTTTAGGTGTGTGTGTGTGTGTGTGGGTTGTTTTGGTTTTCTCTAGGTGTGTGTGGGTTGTATTGGTTTTCTCTAGGGGTGTGTGTGGGTTGTATTGGTTTTCTCGGTGTGTGTGTGTGTGTGTGGGTTGTATTGGTTTTCTCTAGGTGTGTGTGGGTTGTATTGGTTTTCTCTAGGTGTGTGTGGGTTGTATTGGTTTTCTCTAGCTGTGTGTGTGGGTTGTATTGGTTTTCTCTAGGTGTGTGTGTGTGGGTTGTATTGGTTTTCTCTAGGTGTGTGTGTTGTATTGGTTTTCTCTAGGTGTGTGTGTGTTGTATTGGTTTTCTCTAGGTGTGTGTGGGTTGTATTGGTTTTCTCTAGGTGTGTGTGGGTTGTATTGGTTTTCTCTAGGTGTGTGTGGGTTGTATTGGTTTTCTCTAGGTGTGTGTGGGTTATATTGGTTTTCTCCAGGTGGGTGTGTTTTTTTTATATTATCTGTTTTACTTGAAATGGGAAGTTTCTCTTTTACTCTATCTGTGCAGGCCTCAAACCCTAAAACGTAATGTCATCCCCCGCTCTGGAGAGCTTTACTGTGTGGACTTGCCTGACGCTGCGCAGCCATTGCACAAGAATGTCCCAGCTGGGATCTTTCACGTGTGCTGCTCACCTGGGCCATTCCTATGGCTGGGGTTGTATTTCTCTCTGAATGATTGGGGTCGCCAGGAGCGTGGTTCCAACCGTGAGGGTGAAGGGGGTCGCCAGGAGCGTGGTTCCAGCCATGGGGATGAAGGGGGTCGCCAGGAGCGTGGTTCCACCCATTGGGATGAAGGCATTGCCAGGAGCGTGGTTCCAACCATGGGGATGAAGGGGGTCGCCAGGAGCGGGGTTCCAACCATGGGGATGAAGGGGGTCGCTAGGAGCGTGGTTCCAACCATGGGGATGAAGGGGGTCGCCGGGAGCGTGGTTCCAACCATGGGGATGAAGGGGGTCGCCGGGAGCGGGGTTCCAACCATGGGGATGAAGGGGGTCGCCGGGAGCGCTCAGAATCTCCTCTATAGGCAGGACAATCGGATCAGACTGGAGACCTATATATCTGGATGACATTGGCCAGGTTGGGCAACAATCCTACCAGAATTGCGGCCATCAAGGCAAAATCGGGAATTTGTCTGCAGACGCTGTTGGGCCAAGGATTCGTTAGAGAAGCGATTGGGCAGGTTATAAAAAATGTTTTGTCTGCAGAACACCTCCCCCACCCCTCTATGTGGGATGAATGTGGGTGACCCAATGTGACCATTCCTGTTTAGGGACTTGGTGGCCGCCATAAATGTCTGAGGTCCTTTATTGTACCTGCATATCAGATTGCCTTCTCTCCTATAAGCCAGGTTCACCCCTATGTGTGATAATGCTGTGCAGGCCGTAGTCTTACAGGGCAGTGATGTCTGTGCATTGTGCTACAAAATGAAGATCCCTTTGTTATCTCCGACTTTGTTTACACACGACGCTGCGAGAAACGGCCGCTGGGCCCAGTTTACCATCGAGATCATGAACAGACCTGAACACAAGGCAGCCATTTGAATGGGCATCTCTGATTCTCAGACAATCTATCCCATAGATCAGGTGTAGGCAACCTCGGCCCTCCTGCTGTTGTGGAACTACAAATCCCATAAGGCATCACAACCAGAGACCAAGGCATGATGGGATTTGCAGTTGTACCACAGCTGGGAGCGCCAAGGTTCCTTACCCATGCCATAGACTATGATCGCTACTTCTCAGGAAATTTGGTCCACCCCAAAATGGCTGCCACCATCCCTATGTGCAAAAGAGTAAACCTTGCGCTTCTAAGAAGTTCATTGGAGAGGTGTGAAGGGCAATTTTCCTCCGAGGGGGAAGCTGAAAGTAGAAAATTACCTTGTGGTTTTTAATTTGCTTATTTTTAGGGCGCATGGCGTAGTGAGAGTGTGTGCGACAGTCTCTACAGATTCATCCCCACCCCTGAGAAAGAAGACAAAGCCCCGGAGCCCACCTCCTGCCCTCCGCACCCCAGTCTCAAGTTCCGACCAACGACAGTATCTCCTCTTCCACAGCTTAGGTAGGTTGAAGTATCGGTTGTCATGCGTTTGTGTTTTTGCCTCTTCCTGTTTTCTTGTATGGGTGTCGCAGGGACAGGAAGTGACCCCAGTATGGCTGTCAGGGACAGGAAGTGACCCCAGTAAGTCTGTGACCCTACTAGGGAAATCTCCCAAGTGGGGTCACAGACTCTTACCGGAGGCTGGGGTCAAACTCTTGGGCATGAGGAGAGACGTAGGGCTTGGAGGAAGTTATAGGGTGGGGCGGGATGGAGCCCCGGGCATCTGCCACCCCCAAAATTGAATGCTGAAGAGGCTGCAGCGCTGGACCAGCAGGCGGAAGGGGATTTGAGCATCCGGAAAGGAGAGTTGAATACATCTTTTATTGCTCATGAGGGTCGGTTTGATTTCTTTATATACCTGACAGGGCCCCTTTAAGATGAAAAGGCAACCTTGTTGTATAACAATGGCCGCAGTTTGCGCTTAGAGATTTGCAGTATGGGTTACTGTAGCCCAGGGATGGGTAACCTCAGCACTTCAGGTATGCACCCAGTTGAATGACTCGGAGGAACAACCCCCACCCCCCCTTCCCTTTTTATCCTCTTCACACATACTGTAGATTGCACCGTCTGTAACAGGGGTATGCAAACTCCAGCTGTGGTGAAAGCACAAATCCCATCCTGCCTCTAGGACTCATGCCTGTGGCTGCCAGTCTTGCAATGCCTCATGGGACTTGTAGTTCCACAACAGGTAGAGTACCAAGGTTGCCTACCCCTGCTGTAGCCTCTCCACGTCTCACTTGACTCCTCTCATGCAGGGTGACTGATCTGAGGTCTGTAGGACTTTATCTTTACCCACTACAGAAGGAAGCGGCCCATTGTGCATTCAGCGCCTCCCCCTTTGGACACATCTTATTTCCCCGGGATATATTAATTTGCAACGTCGTATAAATCGGCATGTTTGTTACTTTTTAAATGGTTTCCTTGTTTTAAAACGGGGATGACAGGTCCTCATTGAGCCTGTTCTATGCTCTCTAGAAATGGAAAGACTTTGTTCTTTTTTAGTTCTTACTAGGAATCTGTAGCCATGGTGACGTTCTGGGCGCAACCTCAAAACCCATAAAACCCTGAATGAAAGGCTGGCGGTCTGAGCGGAGGAGTATGCCGAGTCGTGTGCAGCTGTTAAAGGGGATTTCCTGCAAAGGTGGTTGTGGAAGGGTTAGCTCCCTCAGTCAGGGTTTATTTCGCCTTCGTTTCCACCCCAGTGGCCATTAGCATGGAGGCCAGGAATTTAATGGAGATGGCTGCCAAAGGCTAGACTACTTCTCGCTTGCTTTCTCCTATGTCTCTGGGACAGGAAGTGAGGTAAAGCATAAATTTGTTTAAGAGGACCTGTCACCCTTGTGTTAAAAAACAAAAACAAAACCTGGTATCGGTGCATTCCTACTTCGAACACACAAACTCAGCTGAGCCCTTTAAAATGCCATTGTGGTATGCATGGACTATGTTCTGTTTCTGACATCCCAGGAAAGCAGGTGATGGACAGAATTTGGCCCACAAAGTTGAAGTTCTTGGGGGCCCGTTCACACCTTTTGCATGCTGAGTTTCCTGTTTGGGTACAGTGCATAGGCCGCTTGTGACTCTGAATGGGCTGTGATTGCATCTTGATGCACAATATAGGGCCTGCTTGGCTTTTCAGCTGTGTGCTATAGCGCACTGTACGTAGGCATTGGGGTGCAACGAGCATTAAATTGCAATATTGTGCATCGCTGTAAAGACTTGTTCTAATGTGCGTTGTGGTAAATGAGTCTCTACTGGCCCTGGTGATCCCGGGATACTCCTTACATGTCTTCTCTCTTACAGCTGGGCTAACCAGGACGATGTGTGGAGGAACATGTTGCACAAGGACAGAACCTATCCAAGAGATAAGAACTTGTTTCGGAGGCATCCGGAGCTACAGCTGAGCATGAGGGCCATCCTAATCGACTGGCTGATGGAGGTGGGTTGGGTTGCAATCCAGAGTTCAACGTTCGTCCATCGTAAACCGATTTCTGTTATCAGTGGATGTTGATGGGGATCGGTCACCAGCTGCTGCCTTAATTCCTATTGCCATTACAAAGGAGCCCTGCTTATCCGGGTGAACCCTTCCTTTGGGGTGTGAAGGGTAATACAGCAGGAGGAAATAGACTTCATGGCCATTAGAGTAGAGCAGGAAGTTTGCGTCAAAAACCAGTACCAGAAGTTATGTTCACCATGCTGGTGTTGGCCAAGGCCTGTGTTGGGTTGGCTCATGGAAATGGCAGTCCAGCGGGAGCGGTGTTGGGGG